CATGCCGGCAGCAGGCAAGAAGAGAAGCATTGTTTGTGTGCTTTATCACCTTTATCCTCCTCCAGTGTCAGCCCTGCAGAGGTGAGATGAGAGTGGAGTAGATTTCTGGTGTTAATGTGACCTAAGGTGACTAAAAAGGAGCTCTCGGTGACAGCCACTGATAAGAGCTGTCACCTTTATGGCTTACTCAGCTCGTATGCTATGGTTACAGCCATGTTCTGTGAACTTCATTGAAAGTGATTACCTAGGTTGCCCATATGGACGTCTGTGGAATCTAACTGTAAATAGTGATTGCCAGGATTGCAGCATTCTGTAGAGTTATGGAGTTGGTAAAGGTCAGAGGTCACAGCATACTAAGCCACACTCGCCTTCGCTCCATGGAGAGCGAGTGCGGCATCTCGGGATCCTGGCAGGGAACAAAGAAAGAAAAATGAGAAGTGCATGGAATTTTGATGAGATGAGGGATCAGGCAGCGTTATAACAAAGATTGTCACAACATGCACTCCTCCGCTTGATTACAAAAGGGAGAGAAGTGTGTGAGGCGTTTGATTACATGTCCCAGCAGAGGCCATTAGGGGTTCTACTTGTAGGAAGGCATCATTTACACTGCAATGATGAAAAAATCCTCCTGAGCACTAGGGGGTGCTCTTCAAGATAAATGATATGAATAATCTCTACCACAGAGTTTCGAAGTTGGAGCAGCCTCCTAACTTATCTCTGACTGCTGCAGCAGATTGTAAGCATGTTGGAATCTCCCTGAGGAGTCGGTGCAGGCCAAAGGAAAAACTCCTTCTCAAGGTTAGCACCGTTAGGCCCTCCTCACCCCAACTAAGATGCATGAAAGGAATTTTATCATCATAAATAACAAAGAAAAACAGCCTTGCTAGAACGGTCTGCTTAAGATTGATTTTTATGCACATGCATTCATTTGAAATAAAAGAAATGCTGTTTCAGTGCTAATTACGAAGATGAAAGGAAGTAGAATGTGCAAGGCAATGAACTTTGTTTAAAGGCGCCGCACATGGCTTATTCAGGGACATGGTGCTTTAATGAAATCCAACTCCATTTATGGGCTTGTAGAGTAGGTTTTCAAATTGAAACTGTATTTACTCAGTTTTAAACAAGGAAGAAAAAATGCACCTCTTTTGCACGTGTCAGTCTCAATAGAGCCAGATAAACAATGCGTGTCCTAGACAATGAGAGCGTGCATGTTCCCCAGCTGGAGTAAAGGGGTTAACTGGCTGTGGAGAGATCCTTGACCTATCTGAGATGAGCTCCCCGCCCCCTCTGGCAATGTGGAATATCTGATTGCTGATTATGAGTTTATTCCCCATCGTGCTGAGCCTTTTGCATGTCAGGATCCATCCCTCTCCGACTGAACTGATTAAGGAGCTGGAGATGATGCTACAGCTCTCAGCAATTGCTGAGATACTCTCAGAGAGCCTGGTAATCTGGAGTGCAGCTGGCAATCACACACCACTGACTCTTTTTTGGGTTGTTTTGTTGTTTTCAAGTGGGTGTTTTGGCATATTGTTGTCTTTGTTCCCCTGGGCTTCTTGTTTCTGGATGAGAGCTTTCCTCGTGCTGAGCACAGGTCCTTGTCAACCTGGCTGCTCAGCTCAGCCTGGTCCAGCCTCAACAACAGCAGCATCAGCAAAGACCCTCGCTCAAAGTCTCCGGATGTGCTTATGATCACCCTCTTGCAGGAGCCTAATTTGGGAAGAAAAAGGACATTCATCCCTGATGTAAAAATGCTCTCCCTTTGCTCATTTTCACAGCTCCAAGAATCCAATACATAGGACAAAGACATCAGACAAATTGAAAGAAATAGCTTCTCCAAATTGTGTCCTCGTGTAAACTTTTAAGGGTTTATGTGGTGTTCAATGGATTTCTGTCACGAGGAAACAAATAGAGTTTTTCTTGCGAAGAGACTGGCACTCCTGCTTTATTTGCTTGCAGGGATCTGTCGCTTAGTTACAAATCAGTGGCTGTCGTCTCTAAGTTCTGTTTTTGTCAATAGTTGGATATGAGAGGGAGACAGTCCTGTTCATTCTGCGCTGATGGCTGTTTTAATCTCTTTAATGTGTGACTTGGGGCAACAGAGGAGGAATCTGCCCAAATAGAGCAATCTCAATTACTATCAAAGCTGTAGAGCCCACTGCTAATGACGTCCAACTGTCAAACGCATCACCCACAGTTTTACAAATTAGCTTAATGCTTAAATGCTTGAAACGTTTGTCGCCTATTGAAAATACAAATACTGCACATTTTCCCACTACGACCAAAATATGACCTGAATTAGAAGATATGCATCAACTAATAACCTAAGGAAGACAACTGTCCTCTGCTATTGTGTATTTGTGTCCGCCGGCTTACTGCATGTTGTGTAACGGAGCCTGGCTTTACTGCCAACAGTTAAGCTAATATAGTTCCAGATGTGCCAACATCAGTCCCGGTAAACAAATGGCTATTGCTCTTTCTGTCTCGTGTAAATGAAAGGTTCCAGGTGTTTCACTGCTGTGATGAAAGACACGAAATATGTTCCGTGCGAGAGACTAAACCACAGTGTCTGAGAAGTGATGGTGGGGAGGGGTCCTCCAAGGTTATGTGTGCTTGTATTTGATTTTTTCTAGTTTTAATTTGTTACTATGTCTTAATTGCATGTATATCAAATCTAATTATTTGTACATCAATGTATGCGTGCTACAGCATTTTTAGGAATATTTCTTTATGAAATAAATAGCTTAACCACAGGGTTATCATTGTCAAATCATAATTCTAGTGACATCTTTTGTTACATAAAGCACAGGAGAATTCCAACTCTTTATATGTATTCTCGTACTATATCAGCCTTGTTGTTCTGAATCGTATTTAGCTGTCACTGCGAATAAACCAAAGGAAAGAGGGGAAACAAGAAAAGGCATGATGGGTAAAGCAGATTTCCTTCAAAATGAGGATGATCAGAGTCAAACTACTGTACGTTTGACATACCTTGCCCATTTGAGTGGGTAAGGAAGTTATTTTTTATCTTTTGACACATGATTGCATCGGACCGCTCTGCTTTGATCTCACCATGGATTTTTTTCTTTCTCTTGATGTGGGATTATTATAATTTATACATAAGGGATTTTGTTTTTTCTTGAGCCTCAGCAAACTTGAGTAAACATGGTATACATAGTAGATAAACATTGTATTCATTTACACATTCTCATTAGAGAGCCCTTAGGTAATTAATCAGAGGCTGTGGTATATATAAGGAGATAGACACTGTTCAAATAATTTATTCCTTTCTACTCTTACCGAGTGTGAGAAAAAGTGTCTGATCAATTCCTCCCTTAGATGTAGCTCTTTGAAGACATGCAGTGTCTTATGAGAGCACCACCACAGTATTTATTCTCGAGGAGCTGAAGGCTGCAGACCTTGCATATACTGTACAAACATAGCAGGGCATTGTTGCCTCATCTTAATAATCAGCTATTCCCCCTTAATACAGGAACCATATAACCCCAATTAAACCTATACAGGTGTAAAACAGTCACATTGCTGTATGTGTTGCAGCTTCAGTTCAGAGTTTGCAGTGTCCTCTTCATGTTCACATACAGAGGCTACGGTAATTTATATGCCTTTTTGTGCCATACTGTGCCTTGAGATATGCATATTATTTATGATTGTTATGTTTTGAGGCATGACTTCATGAAAGCAGAAAGAACATGTATCTTTCATATGTGCATCGAAAGAGCAGTGTGCAAAACAAAGGATTTTGGGAGGGCCAGCTGTGCATAGAGAAATTGCTTTGTAAAGAAACATTGGAAAATGGTTCCAACATAAAATAATCTTATTTATAATTAATAGTATGTGACTTGTCAAAAGGCGTATAAGAGATCTCGAGTAAAATACAACTTAATATCCATTAGAACGTGTGCAGTTAAAACATTTTTTAAATCTTGTAATCCTAACTTTTGCTTTTCCATCAGAAGGCAAAAAAGCTCTGCATATTTATTCGCCCATTAACCCGTCAGTGGCAGTCATGTACCACGCAAGGTGCTTGCCTAACTATTGGGAGCAATTTTCGAATCAGCGTGTGACAGTAAAGTAAAACAAAGCCTCAATATGGTGCGTAACAATTCTGCCAGCGATCAAAGCAGCTCCAGGCTTTAATTGCATCCATTGTAAATGAATTTTGTTTCTACATGAATGTGCCTGGAGGGCAGTCTCACTTACTGATTGAATAATTAGTAGCTGCTCCTGATCTCACATGCTAACAGCACGCATTAGCATGTAAATAAAGCTGCATTTTAAGGATGGGATGTTTTAAAAACCTGTTCTTTGAAAATCTAAACAATAATTTGGTAATTCCCTGTAGTAGACGTAGAAAACAGTAAACAATCCAACTATATGTCCAACGTTAGATACATTTCTGACTATTTCCTACCTGATATCAATGTCAGGTATTTTGTTCCAGGAAGAAGTTATTCCAGCATTGTAATCATTTCATATTTCTACAGATAAGCATAAACACAAGCAAGTTTCCTGATTTCTTGTTATTTTGTATTCGTCGGTTCTATCACATAAAAGGGAAAGCAGAGGTGGCGTATTTCCGCATCTCAGTTTCTCTCCAAGGCAATCCGGATATTGTTCAGTTCTGACTGTAAACATAATGCTATCCATAGGCAACAGATATTTTATGGCTGTTGTTGATGTACTTTCGTTAGATAGATTTGATGTCACAATGATGAAGGGTTTATTTTTAAAACTACAGGAAAGGCTTTCTGCAGATTAATTCCAGTGTATGGCTCCCATTGTGGGAGAAACAAATTGAGCTTTAAGGAATTAGTGTGTTTGCTGCATAAATCTCAAATCTATTCCTGAAACATTTGATTGTGTTTAATGTGATTGGATGCTTTTGTGTTGCCTCTGAGTGGCAAAGGAAGCAGCGTTTGCCGACAGGATTAGAGCTCAAAGTACAGTAATGAATGCTCGGTGTTCCTCCATTGACCCAGGTGTGTTGTCTAAATACAATATGGATGTGCCGAGCCGCCTGTGTACTCCAGTGCTGGGAGACTATTTGCTGAAGGTCATGTGGGATCATAGCATGCCATTAATAATTCCTGAAAGCATCCAACATCTCCATCTGTTCTGCTGCATCCATCGCTCCACTTCAAAGACAAAGGCAGCATCTGCAGGTAAGCATTAAACCTGCCTCCAGGCTAAGATGTTGGAGGTGGGACTCTTTGTAGAGAGAACATATCTCTGGTCATCAGGTCATGCTGCTCATATATTAGCCAATTAATGTGTGTATGTTTGCTCTCACAGCTTGAACCTTTGAACACATAGGTAAACATACAGTAGACCTGCAGCTGCACATTTACAGTGAATAATGGCTATTGTGTGCATGTTTTTCAGCTATAGCCGGCTGAATCGAGCGGACGTGTGTGTACAGTAATTCCACACACACCCTCACAGGCTACAGGCCTCTCAACAGGGATGCAATTACCACCCTCTGTTGAGTCTAGCCAGTCAGCTTGACAAGGTGTTACCGGAGAAATTATCAAAGCTGATTTTGAACCAAGCATTTAATAATGTGAATTGTGTGTATTTGTGTGTGCACCTGAACAAATAACATGTTTATACCTGTGTGCCGGGCATACAGTGAAGTCAAATCTAAACAGGTCTCAATGACAGGCCCACTTGAGATACGCAGGAGTCCCGCAGGGAGTAAATGGATGTTTGGCGGTGGCATGTGCTGCCCGGGCCTGGCGGGCGCAGTGGGCGAGGAGGCAAGTGCCTGGCTGAGTGAAAGATGGCAGTGTGCAAGCAGAGTGTGTGCACACAGCTGAGGCTGTGACAGAAAACAGTGAGAGTCCTGCTCCCGCTGCTTCATCTTCCCCTGCCAATGATAGATCTCCACTTTAATTTTGTGAATAGCGCAGGTCCTCCATGACAGAGTCTGGGCAGCATTTGAACTGTTAATTATAAAGATGTGTTTTGTTAAAGAAAAGAATGGAAAGCTTTGTTTGGATGAAGATATTTTATAATTTACTGTAACATGGAAAGTACAGCGTATCATTGGATGAAGCTTACAATTATTCCGGCTTCACCCCTTACATGTGGTCTGCTGATAAAGCACCTGTGCCCATGAGTAACTGCACAATCTCTCAGCCCTGGGCTCCTGTACTGTACTGTAGGGCTGACCAGTGAGTCTACTCGAATCACCATCAGCTCCAAACTGCTTAGCCTGGCCAATTTGAATTTCCCATCTCTGCTGACTCATAACCCTGTCAGGACCTTTCTTCTTTATCATGTCGGTCTCCGGTCGCCCCTCATCACAAGCAATAGAAATTAATTATTCAGATTAGAAACCGAGCCATGATTACTGTGATTTTTGTCAAAGGCTTTGTTTTGGCTTAATGTAGTTATCTGATCGGGACATTACTGCAGAGCCAAGATTGCTTTCAAAAGCAATAATTTTGCAGTATTTTTCATTCACAACATTTGAGTGCAAGTTAATGGCTGTGTAAGAACAGGCAGGAAAGAGAGCAGGAAATGATTTTGTCTAATGACACACTCTCGGTAGTCAGGTAAGAGCGAGCGCGGCGCTGTGCGGCGGCTGAGCTGGACAGAGGCTCAGATCAACATGATAAAGAGGGACTGATTGAGCTCCGTACATCCACAGGAAGCTGAGCGTTGGGGTTCAAGGTTATCTGGACAAATCAGACTCCTGTTTCCATTCATCCCCTCCTCACCCAGCAGCCAGCTCTTCCTGGGCAAACTAGCAAATTAGCAATTCTGATGTCTGCAAGCAGGTCTGGCAAGGGAATGCCTGTGAATCCTAATGCCATGATTAAACTTTCATATCCGTCCGGGGGAAGTGCTGCATATACAAAATAAGCAATCTCTTTTTATTTTACAGAGCTTTAAGTATGTCTGTCGTGATGGGTGAACCTAAACCCTTCAGTCGGGTTAAATGGACTGAGCAAGGTGGGGGGTGATCCATCACTCAAATGACTAAATCTCTCTTCAGTGAATATGATCAGTAACAATATACTTAACATAAGAAACTGTATTTAACATGCTGCTGTCACCATTTGCATTGCAACCGCTGTCTGCATCAGTGCATCTGTAAACAGGCCCAACCCCCACCCCTCAACATTGTAAATGTTAATACTTGGTGTGGATTAACATATTAAATGGTCATGTTTTGTGAAATGAAATACCGAAGCAATGTTACGCTCCCTTGGCCGGACATGCAGAGTGGATGGGAGAGAACGTGAGGAACAGGGAGCTGGGCCTGGATGCGGCCATTATGTAAGATGGTCTTATCAGGCGCTACCTCCTGCTGAGCGTCAGCCTGGCTCCCTCTGCTCCCCCTTCCTGGTGCTCCCACAACATGGGCCTTCATTAGCAGGGCTAAATATCCCGTTCCCTGCAATCTCTATCATTTCTTGCCTTGAGGCAATCCGATAATTACCTGTTCTCATTTCCCCTCCTTCTGGCCAGCAGGAAAGTGTTCTGACTTGCATTAGTTTGCATGAAATATTATCAGAATATTGCACATTTCTCCATCCTGCAGCCTCTGACACGGGAAATATAGAGTCTCAGGAGCTGTGATTGACAGGTGTCTGTCTTTCATGTTCCTCTGAGAATAGCTGCTTTGTTCTGGAGTTACAGCAAGAATTTTGATGGAAGGAGGAATGAGTGCGTAATGTGTATAACGGCTTTGTTGCTTTGTTTAACCTCCGATTGCCATTATTTTCGGGCAGTATTGTTATGCGTTACATTGCTCTTTGTTCCCTTCTGTGTAGGTGTAAAAGAACTCAATAAGTTTCCGAATTTAAACTCATCAGTGAGTTTTCCCCGCAGAACGGTTATAAAAGAGTAACATCTTCCTCTCTGTGAGTCCTATGAGGGTTTTTGGAAAGAGACGGATGAGTACATGGCATACAATGCCTTGGAGGGGAAGACATCTTGAGTGGATATGGTCAGAAAGCCAGGAATTCCATGCAGCTGCACAGATTCTGCCTCATTTTATTCATTCCTATCAGTAATAATGTCCAGCGGCTCTGGATCAGGAGATGTATAAATGTTACCACTAAAAGCGAGCAGCTCAACTCTAAACCTCAATGGTCAGAAGAAATTATATGATAGCTTTAACAGGCAAGAAAATGCATCTGATCGTGATTTCATGCCATACATCCTTATTTTTCTTAGTTACCAATGTGGCTGCTCAAGCGTACATATTCTTTCTTCAAGTGCTTCTGTTTAAAAAGGTAATGTCATGCATGGTATTTGCCAAAATGCATCTCTGTTTTAACGCCAACGGAGCCATTAGATTGATTCTATCCAATTAAAAAAAGTGTCTCTAAATGTCATTCAGGAATGCATATTGAAATTGAAAAGGAACTTGTGTGTTAAGCAGAGGATCCGTCTGATACTGAGTTGTTGTTGTTGATGCATGAGCTTAAGCCTATTCAGTGTTTCCCCTCGCCTTGCTGTGGGAAGCAGCGATAATTTTGGACTTTGTGACGGTCACTTTAATCTCTAATGAAGGCTCGTCCCTGGCTCTGCTCAGCCCTCTGATAGCAGAGCAGTCATAAACAGGCCTGTCAGGGGGATTGCAGCGCTAGCAGTGCAAAATGGCAAAGAAAACCCCAGGGACCGAGCCATGCTCGCATTATGGTCTAATTCACATATAGCTCGGAAAAGACAGAAAATGTTCCTACTTTGCCTCTCTTAGCTTTCTGTGTGGCTGGATCCTTTGGACTCACTTTTTCCTATTTCAAATAAGCATTACATTAATCGTAAACAAGTCACACTCCAGCATGCCGTCAGTTGGTCAACTTATCCTTCAGGGTAATCTGAGTGGAAACTAAAATATCAGGAGCCTTATTTCAGCTGCAAATAAACACTCGGCTTCTGAGATTGCATCACAAATTGACCATAAAATCTGTGTTTCTAGATCCATTCACGCCGTGTTACAGTATACGCTTCTTTTAGTTTTACAACATTACCATACAAATGGAGACAATTTCATGTTTAACATTTAGTGCAAGATGTAAATGTGTGCTCAAATGATTCAGTGAAACTGATTACTGGTTGCTCCTTGTTCTGACACATCCTGTGCTCATGCAGCATGTGCGACAGCTGGTTAGTAATTAGAATAATCTTCTCCCTGGTAGTGATTTAGCTTTCATGACTGCAGCTTACCTCAATTTGAAAATAAATTTATAGATAAATGCCTTTGCTGTTCCAGCAAATTATACTGCTGAAACTCAAAGGAGCCAAGTTGTTTATTTTGGTAGTAAAAGAGCAATCAGAGAAAACAAACAAAGCGCTTTATGAGTGCTGTCAGATTAATAATGATGCTACCCAGCGGTGATGATACAAACGATTATTTTTCTGCACACTCTACCCCACCTCATCATGGTGATTATAGATACTATATCATTATTATATCAAGCATTCACTACAGATTACAGAGTTAATTGAAGCTTGCTCCAGGAATGGCAAGCTCCCTGTGCATCCAATAAACTGGGAATTACTGGGCAGGAGAGAAACACACATTATGTTATCCAAAGCAAACTAGCATTGAATCAGCTTTGGTGAGTTCATGTTCACTCTGTATTTTTCTTAAGTGAGCATGTGTGTGTAGAGATACACACGCAAGCACACAAACATCAGTTGACAGTGTTAAGATGAAGCTATACATGTGATACATTGTTTTTCTCCGAGCTTCTGTTCGGGTGTATCTGGGCAAATCCCGTGGTGATGAGGCGTAGAATCTGTCAGGGAGAAGGCATAAGCCTTTCATATGCATAGTAGAGATAAGAGGCAGCCATTTTATCAGGCGAGCTGTCGTCCTAACATGCTTGTGTGTTACGTGTCCTCGGCAGCGCCTCCAGAAACATGTCCCTTTAATGACATGGCCCTGTGCGCGCCAAAAGGACGTCCAGTATGTTGCTGAGCTCTAACCTGCCAATTACGCCTATTGCACATGGCATCAATGTTGACAAACACACCAGGAGAATTGCCGATGTTGATTGGTAGCTGTGTTCCGAAGTCCCCTGCTGCGACCTCTTCTGTAATTTAACAAGCGTGGAGGAGAACGGCAACGGGTTTCCTAGAAAATTCCCCAAGCCTTGTGTTCTTTTGTAACGGGGCGATGTTTGTGCCAACTGAACAGGCA